TATATATATATTAGGGGTGGAACGGTACACAGATGTCACGGTTTGGTACATACCTCGGTTCGGGGTTCACGGTTTGATACCATTTCGGTACAACAGGGGAAAAAAAAAAAATCTACTATGCTCGGTTTCTTATCATTTATTTCGAACAGACAGTAGTACAAATTACAATTTTTTTTCCACCTAGATGTGAAAATACTAAATATTTTTACATTATGTTTTATATATAAAATCTGCAGTACATATATACATACAAGGAATAAATTCTGTATAGCCTACATAGCCTGTAGGCTATGTATAAAACGTAGCCTATATATATGCCGAGTTTCTATTAATTTTTGACACGCTTAATTTGTTCACAGAAAGGAAACTCAAATGGATAAGTGTTTAAAGTTGATTCTGCTGGTATAAGGAAACAGTTTAAGTGATCGCGCAGGCGCGCACGCACACACTCACACACACAAAACACATTAGTTCCAGCATTGCTAACTTGACAGTGCAGTTGGTACTTTATCAAAATAAAATACAATGAACCAAACATCAATGTCATCGTTGGAACGCGACTGAAGTACAAAGCCTATAATTTACATAATAAATAATAGTTTAGCATTCAGATACGTTACATCGCAAATATGGAAATATTATGGAATATTTGGATTTGTGCCGAATGAGAGAGGTAGGATACACGAGCACAAAGCTCCATTTCGCAAACAGTTGAGTGCACAAGCCTTTAAAGTATACATACTCCTTTGTCAGTCTGAGAGACGCATTCAGAATCAGCTCATGGTCACTGTCTAGTGGACTTTGTTTTCAAGTGGGCAACTCATGGCATTCGCTGTTCTTCTGCTGGCAGCCGGTTATCAAACAGCGTTGCATTGCTGCGGGCGCCCCCATCTGGATGGGGGTGAATTGCCTGTATTCATTGTAAGGCCTCATGCACCGAACCGAGATGTCCGTACCGTGACGGTTCGGTACGAATACATGTATCGTTCCACCCCTAATGTATATATATAATACATTCATATAAAATAAATAAACATTACTGCATAATTTGATCCCCTAACAATTGTCACGATTTGAAAAACTAATTGTAAATACTGCTCTGTGTTATGCAAAGTATAACAACAGTCTCACACAACATGCAGCGTAGGTTTGCTTTTGTGTGAAAACATGGCAGATTGCTGAGAGTAAAAGTATGAATGAATTGTATGAATGCATAAATGGAACCGACTGTGTTCAGTAAGGTTTCAATGGCATTTGCTTTCCATCTTCCCTCTGTGTAATGCCTAATAAAGCAGTGTTTAAGCAGTGCTGCTTGTTTAAAGAGCTTACCATGGAAAGCTACATTTCTGCTGTTCCATAAGTGTCACATGCTGTCAAAAAATGGATTTACATTTTTATTCAGCCTGTCTGCCAATTTTGTTCAGACCAATGCAAAAAGCTACAGAGCCCCTAAAGGAACATGGTGGTGAAACAGTGACATTGGAGGACCAAATTCAGTATTAATAATACTATTATAACTATTAACACTCAGTGCCAATCCTAGACGTCTGGGGGCCCTAAGCAAAACTTTGTCGGGGCCCCAAAATGCTCCCCAACTCCTTAACCTATTCTTTCAGAGCAGTTTCCCTGTCAAAAGTGAGTTAAAAAAAAGTCAGTAATACAAAAAAGGAAGGAAATTACAAACAATAGGGCAAATACAACAGAAAAAAGTATACAAATAAAATAAACTAATTAGCCTATAATATAGAAATTGATTAAAGTAATCAAATGTACAAATAAATCACTGCATAGACTTCAACATATAAATTAAACATAAATTAATTCATAATAAAGTTATGAACAATATTAAGTGAAGAGCAGTGATTAATCTGATGTAACTTCCTGTTTGTTGCTGCTGTGTGTTTTGAGTTGAAGCTCCGTCAAGTTAATTCTTTATCGTCTATTTTTCAATCTTAAAATCAATTTTATACACCATCATTTTCGTCTCTATATCGTGGGAAGGTATCCCCCATTGTATTCTACAACAAAAACAATCGGAGCACCTTGTTATCACTAGTTTTATTTTGATTTGCCAAGTCCGCTACTAGCTTATAGCCCGTTAGCATCGCTAGCATGGTTGCCGCTAATCTTGCTTACATTGCTTAAACTCCATACTTTTACTCACTGCTACTTGCTATAAATGGTGGATTTCTGTCTACCTTTGAGTGCAGGTGAGGACGCGTTGCGAGCTGGAGGCCGTGGAGAAGCAGGCCCAGCTGAGAGAGTGGAGAGCCGCGCTGGAAACATGGCTGATGCTCACAAGTCCGGGGTAAGTATACAGCATACTGCTAACACTCCCACCACCTCTACTCCGTGTGTTTCTCTGCACAGGCCCTGTGCACCCAGGACGCGATCTTCCCAGGCCTCCTTTACTCCAGCGACAAGACACCACGGACCCTGGGTGCACCAGCAGCGGAAGACGCGAGCCAAGCCCCGGGCGAGGACCTCTCCCCCTCCGCCGCCTCCGGTCTTGGAGGCAGTCATGGCCTAATGGATAGAGAGTCGGGCTTGTAACCCGAAGTTCGTGGGTTCAAGTCTCAGGTCCGGCAGGAATTGTCAGTAGGGGACTGAAAAACCAGCGCTCTCTCCACCTTCAATACCACGACGGAGGTGAGACCCTTGAGCAAGGCAGCGAACCCCCAACTGCTCCCAGGGCGCCGCAGCATTGGCTGCCCACTGCTCCGGGTGTGTGTTCACGGTGTGTGTGTGTTCACTGCTGTGTGTGTGCACTTGGATGGGTTAAATGCAGAGCACAAATTCAGAGTATGGGTCACCACACTTGGCCACACGTCACCTCACTTTCAATTTCAATTTCACTTTCACTTTCACTTTCGCTTTCACTTTCTTTGAGATCTCCACCCCGAACCACTTCGCTCCCCTCCATGAGATGGAACACAACGCTGTGATCGTCGGAGACTCCATCGTCCGGGCATGTCCGTGCTACCCTTGCTAAAGGTAAAGTGCACACTCACTGTTTCCCTGGTGCTCATGTTCTCAATGTTTCTGCGCAGATACCTGCGATCCTGAAGGACGACGAGAGCACAGGAGCGGTTGTGCTTACGGGGGTTAACGGCATCAACACTGTAAAAAAAAAAGTTGATCTAACTCAAAAAAATAAGGCAACCTATCACACTCAACTTGTTAAGTTAACCCAACTAGCAACTGACAACTTAAGAACTTTAGTTCATCTAATGAATAAAAGTCAGTCTACTGAGTCTTAAAAGATCTGTCAGAGCAACCAAAGATTTTTTAGCATTTAGCAATTCTAATCTTTTTTTTATCAAACCTCTTTCTTTTAGATTTATGTTTATTTTCAGAGCCTTCTACATGTTATGGTTAGTATTTGCCTCTTAAAACTAGAGGGCAAACATTTATGCAGACACAAATGTATTAAAAAAGTTGCAATGAGATGCACATATACAGTACCTCAGCACATGATTCTCAACCATGGTGAGGATCAACAAATTTGAAATCAGTAAAAGTATGAACTCTGATCCACATGACAGCTAACTGACAGTGACAACAGCAGCAGCAGCATAAATTAAGCCAGTAAAATTTAAAACAATGATAATATTTTAGTAATTATTAACATAAAATATTTTCAAGCTGCAATGCATGCTGGGAACTTGTGCAATATTATTCAATGTAAAATTGTTTATTCAGATGACTCAATTTGAAAAGTTGGGAGAACATTTGGATATGTTGTGAACAAATACTTGAGTATCTACAGTGCCTTGCGAAAGTATTCATACCCCACTCATTTTTTCACATTTTGTTATGTTGCTGCCTTATGTTAAACTGCTTTAAATTACTTTTTTCCCCCACATCAATCTACACTCCATACACCATAATGACAAAGCAAAAACAGAATTGTCACAACTTCGTAAATGTATTAAAAATAAAAAACTGAAATAAGTACATTGAATAAGTATTCATACCCTTAAATAAATATTTAGCTGAAGAACCTTAACAGCCTCAAGTCTTTTTGGGTATGATGCACATCAGCTTCAAAAAATGTGCACATCAGCATTTGGCAATTATCTGCCATCCTTCTCCTCATCTCTTCACCTCTCAAGCTCTGTCAGCTTGGATGGGGGCAGATGCACATTTTCAGGTTTCTCCAGAAATATTTGACTGGGTTCAATCCCAGGCTCTGGCTGGGCCACTCAAGGACATTCACAGGGTTGTCTATAAGCCACTCTTGCTGTGTGCTAGGAAGAGTCCTGGTTGTTTAAAACTTCTTCCATTAAGGGTAATAAAGACTACATGCTTCTGTGACCCTTCAATGAAGCAGAAGTTTTTTTTTCTGAACTCTTCCCCCGATGTGTGGCTTGTCACAAACCTGTTTCTGAGCTTTACATGCAGTTCTTTTGACCTCAGGGCTTGGTTTTTGCTCTGATATGCATTATCAGCTGTTAGACCTTTTATTAAGACGTGTGTGCCATTCCAAATCATACCCATTCAATTGAATTTGCCACAGGTTAACTTCACTTGAAGTGTAGTAACATCTACAAGCAAAATGGAATAATTTAAGTTTTTTATTTTTAATAAATTTGCAAAGACATTAAAAGATAATTTTTGCTTTACCATTATGGTGTATGGAGTGTAGATTGATATGGGGAAAAAAGTAATTTAAAGCAGTTTAGCATAAGCCAGCAACTTAACAAAATGTGAAAAAAATGAAGGGGTATGAATATTTTCACAAGGCACTGTAAACGTGTTTAGAGTATTTTAAAAATTATTATTTTTTTTAATTTAACTTACTTCTCCTATTAAAAATTATTTGTTCAGGCTACTTTTTTACATTGGTTAGTAGAACTTTTCGAAAGTTGGATTTTTTACAGTGAAGCTATGGCAGACAGAGACACTGAAGAGGGACTTCAGGAGCCTGATCGAGACGGTACGCAGCACATCGCCTGCGACGACGATCATTGTGTCAGGACCGCTTCCCACGTATCGACGAGGACACGAAAGGTTCAGTAGACTGTTTGCTTTAAACTAATGGTTATTGTCATAGTGTAAAGAACAGAAACTGCTCTTTGTTAATAATTGGAATCTTTTCTGGGAGCGTCCTAGGCTTTTTCGCGCTGATGGCCTGCACCCCAGCAGAGTCGGAGCGGAACTCCTGTCGGACAACATCTCCAGGACGTATGGAGCATACGTCCTGGAGATATGACTAGTAAGCCAATTCTCAAATAACTGCTATGTTGGCTTTTGTTCTACCCACTTAAAACGATAAAAGTACTTTCATTGTCCAATCTATAAAGACTGTGTCTGTTCCCCGAATAGTGAGGTCAAAATATAAATGTAATGCAGGATCTAGATAAAACCTGATCATGATTAAATGCTAAATAAATGCAAACTAAATGAATAAAAAACATTTTTAAAGCTTGGGCTCCTAAACATTGGATCACTCGCACCCAAAACAGTTATTGTAAATGAAATGATCACAGATAATAGTTTTGATGTACTCTGCTTTACTGAAACCTTACGCAAACCAAATGACTATATTGGTCTAAATGAGTCTACTCCACCAAGCTACTTTTATAAGCATGAGCCCTGTCAGACTGGTCGTGGCGGCGGTGTTGCATCAATATATAGTGATATTCTCAATGTTACTCAGAAAACAGGTTTAACTCATTCAAAATACTTCTACTTAATGTTATACTGTCAGATATGCAAAATAAATCTCTCCTATCTCTTACTCTGGCTACTGTGTATAGACCGCCAGGGCTGTATAAGGATTTCCTAAAATAATTTGCAGATATCCTCTCAGACCAATTGGTTAATGTTGATAAAGCACTAATTGTCGACTTTAACATTCATGTTGATAATACAAATTATGCCATAGGACTTGCGTTTATAGACTTAATGAACTCTTTTGGAGTCAAGCAAAACATAACCAGACCCACTCATCGTTTTAATCATACACTAGATTTAATTATATCGCATGGAATTGATCTTAATGATATAGATATAGTACCTCAAAGTGATGATGTTACTGACCACTACCTTGTATCGTGCATACTGCCTATTACTGATATTAACTATCTGGCTCTGCATACTGTCAGATATGCAAAATAAATCTCTCCTATCTCTTACTCTGGCTACTGTGTATAGACCGCCAGGGCTGTATAAGGATTTCCTAAAATAATTTGCAGATATCCTCTCAGACCAATTGGTTAATGTTGATAAAGCACTAATTGTCGACTTTAACATTCATGTTGATAATATAAATAATGCGTTAGGACTTGCGTTTACAGACTTAATGAACTCTTTTGGAGACCCACTCATCGTTTTAATCATACACTAGATTTAATTATATCGCATGGAATTTATCTTAATGATATAGATATAGTACCTCAAAGTGATGATGTTACTGACCACTATCTTGTATCGTGCATGCTGCCTATTACTGATATTAACTCTATGACTATATGACTATAGTCTGGGTAGAACTATTGTTCCAGCCACCAAAGATAGATTCACAAATAAACTGCCTGATTTATCTCAACTGCTCTCTGTACCCATAAATACACATGAACTAGACAAAATGACTCGCAATATGGGCACTATTGTCTCTAATACATTAGAAACTGTTGCCCCCATTAAATTAAAAAAGGTTAGAGAAAAACGTACTGCACCATGGTACAACAGCAATACCCATTCTCTCAAGAAAGAAACTCGTAATCTTGAACGGAAATGGAGAAAAACTAACTTGGAAGTTTTCAGAATTGCATGGAAAAACAGTATGAAGAGCTATAGACAATCCAACACAATCCAAGGTTTTTATTTAGCACAGTGGCTAGATTAACAAATAATCAGACGTCACCCGAACTAAATATTCCCTCACAGTTTAATATTGATTTCTCAAGTGAAATAAGTAGAGGCCTACAATTTTTTTTCCAGGGTATTGACTTGCACGGTTTAAGTGTTCACCACAAGACTAGTAATGTGCACTAAAAAAAAGGGAAGTAGGATCATTTTTGATTTCGTGACGAATTTAATCATTTTCAGTACCATTGGCAAAACTATACTGTATACTGCCATATAGATATTTTAATATCTAAAAAAAAAAAAATTTCCATCCATTTTTGGTTCAGACAATCATTATTTCAAGCTTTAAATGGTTTAATAAAATGGTTTTAAGTCTTCTAAAAAGACAAGTTTGCTTTATATGATAATAGGTTTTAATATAGGCGTTTCCTACATACGTATAAACATTGATCAACTACCATTACAAAAATCTCAATCTTAAACATTTGCTCATTCTGTGTATTTGTGTCTTTAAAATAGGTTAACTTTGTTGCAAAAGCTGACAAAGTGAATGGTTAAAAACTTTTGACCTAGTTTAATCCAGGAGCAAAGAGGAATAATTTCTAGCACGGAGAGATCACGATTGCACACAGTCTGCGCACAAGCAATATCGGAGTGAGAGGACATGCAGGCAGTTCATTTGTATAAGTTAGGCCTATTTGAGAGCTCGCATCCAGTTTTCTGCAATTACATGACTGTGTTCTCATGTTACAATAAAGCGCTAGGCACATTTGCGCAGGAATGATTACAATTATGCGGAATACCTGCAATCCCGCGCGGATATTCAGACTCCGTAATCGACCAGAAGGCGGATGCGTGTCAAACTCACTGTGGAAAATGAGGCACCCGGGGCACCCACTGGCAGACGAGCCATGAGCACTTTTTTTTAATATATTCTACATTTCATGTATTTATGTAACACATATTCTACATTAAAAATACATTTAAAATGAACAATAACTGCTGTACAAAGAGTAAAAAAAAAAAAAAAGCTAATGCAGAAACGCCGCCTCTTTTCCCAAATTGCGTAGCTTACCACTATCTTTCTTTCATCTTTTCTGATACATTTTCAGTCAAATCGTTTTCTGTGTGCTAGATCAGAGCTAGAGCCCTGCATTTCAGCCCGGGACCCGACGGGCCCCGACTTTTTTACGCCCCTGGGGCTGGGCTTCGGGACAATTTTCACGTCATAATTCAGACGCGGGCCGGGCCTCGGGTCTGTTTTAGGCTTCTCCTTATTTTTATATTTTACACATCCATCATTAGTAATGAAAAAAAAATTGCCGCGCTGGTGGAAACAACACAAGACCGTGCTACCAAGCGCGGCTCGACGGTGTTTAGTGTCCAGGGCAGCAGCATGTATGCCGTCAGCCAAGCTGAACAGTTCTGCCTTCAAATGCACGCAATAGGCTTAAGTTTGCCGCAAAGTACCGGCAAAAGTAATTACCATAAACGTGTCAGGAGGAAATAGTAAGGAGATATTTGAATTATTTACTAATAAACTAGTGTTTTCTGAGTCGGTATCGCAATGACGACGTTGCCGTATGGAAGAATAATAATTCCATATGTATTTGAAACAAAAACAAAAAAACATTGAATAGCACTAACTGAAAAAAATAATGCATTGCATTAACAGTGCATGCATTTTAATGCCTTGTATTTCCAGGGTTTGCATTTTTAGGTCCTGAAATTTAACATAGTTGTTTATTTAAGCTGTGAATATTTCAATTCAAAATTTCACACACATTTTCATAATTTAAAATTCAATCATTCATATTCACCTTCCAGAATTAACTTCCAAAATATTCAATCTGTTTAAAAACACGATGCATTATATTCGACAGGCAAATTTCGGTCCATTTTATTTGACTTTCCAAATTTACTTCCACAAATTCAGTGGTTAAAACTCCACAGACAATTCGCCTTTGCACATCCGGGAGCTCCAGGAATAGCAGTAGCGAACCGATGCATGATCTCCAGCTGCTGTCAGTCGCTCACCGGCAGGTGGCGCAAGCGGCTGTTGATGAAGACCAAAGCAACAGGTGGATTAAGTCATTCATTCACAAAAAAAACGATCTGCAGAAATGGAGCAAGTGCTAAGTAGAAGTTTTGATTATCGGGGCCAGTATAAAAATGTGGAAAAGCTGATTGTGTGTATGTTTAATTCAACATCTTCGCTGCTTCCCGTAGCCTACATGTAAGCAGCTTTCTCTACCACAAAGGAGATTGTAATGCTGTTTTACTCGACTCTGAAGTACAGAACTAACATTACATGTGAGCAGGGCAGGACTTACGGGGCCAGGGGGCCCCTGGGCTTGAGGTTATGTTTGGGCCCCATACCTATACTACAAATGCCCTCAACTAGAGCATTATTATGGAGTAATAGACCGTTTAATACACAAAAATTAAAATATGCTTTCAGGTTCATATACTGTATACAATTAATAGGCAACATGTCTAGCCTAGTCAAAGTTTAGATGTAATATTAAATAGTCACTATAATACAATAAACAAGATGTGATCTCTCAGTTGAGAGATCAAAACCCTGAAATAACACTGAGCAGAAAAAACCAAAGAGATGTATTATGAAAATTTATTGTCATATCTGTGTCTTTTTATGTTAGATTCTTAAATTTAATCAATTCAATCTGAATAAAAAAATGATAAACTTTTGTGATGATGCAACACTGACCCGATTAGGAAAGTGACAGTTCTGTCAGCTGAGCGAAAGTCTTGTATGGCAGTGTGCAACAGCTATCTTAGTGCAGATGAGATGCGCTGATGTGAGGCAATTTTGAGAGAGTGAGAGCGAGAAGACGCGGTACA